ATGTATATGTATGTATACATATATGCATATACAAACCTGCACACTAAGTATCTTTATTTTCTATAAGCTTCAGCTGCAAAGATTACTGAAATATGTATGGGAATGGTCTCCAACTACATTATTGGCAGTATGCGCGTCCTTTCTCCTTCTCAAAGTTAACAGCTGGTGATACATTGATTCCTTGGAGGAATGACTTCCGCTAGTTCTGTTGTTGTGCAGGGCCCACTGGAGTTGTTAGAAGGTGACTTCTTTTGAGGATAGCTGTTCTTCTGCTTTCAGATTTCAGGCAGACTTATATGACTCTAATGCTGGGAGGTGTAGAGAAGAAGCATCATCAGTGTTTGAAAGACAAATTCTGCTACTAATTTTTCAGTTTCATCCATCATCTTGTTGATGGAGACGTGGGTTGCCTTTTCTACAAAGACAAGAGCATGTTAGGCAGATTGTGGAACGAATGGAGAGAACTAAATCTGGACAATTTGCTGCAATTCCAAGTGGCAAAGAGAGAAAGAGAGATTCCACATGTGAAGGAGCTTGAGATGTTGCAGCTAAAGGGAATTTATGTTCTGTTTGTGTATGTAAGCAGAGAGGGAGGAGGTCTGAACAAAGCCTGCAGAGGAAGCAGGAAGCCTGGGAAATCTTAGTGGCCTGTGCGTAGGCATTGGTGTGTGGCACCTGACCACCAGGTCCTAGGTACTTTGGGATGTTCTTCTGTAATGTTCTTCAGCTGGGCTCCTTATATCTGAATTCCCTGCAGTCATGCAAGATACGGAAAATTGTCACCTCCTATTGACTCACCAGGATGAGCTTTCTCCTCATGGACTTCTTTTCACTTTAACACTGTACCTTTTATCCAGATGACAGCCTAAAAATGTTCTACATAAAAACATGAGGTGACCCTGCTTGAGCAGGGGGGTTGGAGTAGGTGATCTCTAGAGGTTCCTTCCAGCCTCAACCATTCTGTGATTCTGTAGTGAAATATTAAAGATGTGTGATGTGATGTGATGTCATAGTTTGTTGCCAGTTTATCAATCTGTTACTGAAAGTTACAAAAGTACTCTTTTACTTCCTGAAAATGTGCACATCAATTAAAATTATCCTTGGTTAAAAGACAAAAATCATAATTTTTAAATTGAAAATTTTGGCAATATTGTGTATTTTCAAATGAAAACCTAAAACACTTCTGAAAAGGCCAACGTTGAGACAGAATCCTTCAGAGTCGCTGACTGTGTTTTCACACCCTTATTTTTGAATAGTAAAAGACTTTAAGATATGCTGCGTTTTCCAGGAAGAGCACTTTTCTTTGACAAGCCTCTTTCTTTGTCAAAAAAATGCGCAGAGAGAAGGCTACAGGTAACCTGGTGCATACCTTCCTCAGCGTGCTGCTGTCTTCAGAGCTGTCTGCCTTTTCTTTTCTATCATTCCTCAGAACTTATAATACTGAATGGTATTCTCTGCAACTGTTGGCAAATGATTGCAGAGAGAAACAGTAGCAGTATTGAACAACACCAGACATGCTAGTAGTATGTTTTTACTGAGTGAAATGCGAATAAGTAAACGACTGAATCCAGTTACCAGCCTGTTGAAGTTACTGGGACTTTTGTCATTAGCTTTTCTGAGGTCAGAACTCCAGTCCATGACTTTAAAAGAAAACAAGTCATAAAATTTTGGGCTTCTTTACTGACAGCTTTGCAAGAAAGTGTGGCAGAAAAATATTTCGTCTTACTATTAACAAAAACATGAATCTTGTTCATAAATTATCATCTATGAAAAACTATGTTAATCTTCAACTTTACTGCAACTTTCTTCCATTTAATGACGTGGTAACTTATGAAAATTTCTAATTCGTGTTGTTCCTGATTTTCCCTGTCCTCATTTAAAAAGAATTTGAGCAGTATGATCATGCTTGTGGCTGGTGGTTAAAATGCTTTGATACCAGCAGATCTTGCTTCCTAACAGCTGTTTTGATTTTTTCTCCAGTTTCCATTTATGCAGTTTCACTTCATTGAATAATCTTGATCCTAAACAGCAATTCAAAATTACCCTATGCCATGTTTGTATATTCTTAAATACCTAAAGGCTCTTATCTGTTTGTTTTTCTCCCAGCTGTCACATCCACTTAGGTGTTTCAGATATTTTCTTTTGACTTTCGTATATTCTTAGATACTAGACTAACAAAATGGGAGTTGATTTAAACATACTTTTAGTAGTGTGAGATGACTATCATTTCACTAAAAGTTACGTGAAATTATTGTTGCCGTGCTATACTTAGATCCGAAGTGCTCTGAATCAAACACCGGAATACAAGACTGCAGGTGCTGGTGTTTCCTGAAGTTAAGTGAAAAACAATAACAGAGAGCTAAAAATGCACTATCAAATAACTGATATCCCTTATTACTGGAACAAATGAGCCCTTAGTGAAGGACAGTGCTTTGCTCTTGAAAACTTAAGTTTATTTTCTCTGTAAAATGGTGGTTTTTCTCAGTGGGATTAAAAAGAAAACCAGTAAATGAGCTACTGGACAAGTAGTAACACTATTTTAAATAGCTCCAAATTTCTGAAGTCTTTCAGGATAGCTTGTTCCCTCCTTTATCCTTTCAGGTTTCTTACTGCTTTAGCTGGGTAAGAGGAACTGCAATCATTGACTCAGTAGATCAGTCATGAGATGTTGGAATCTAGTTTTACATTTGATAAGTATTATGGGGATTTTGGACTGAATAAGCAGCTACCTGGCTGACTGGGATTCCCAATGTCTGCTCTAGATGGGACTTGTATTTTACTGACAGAAGTACCAGTAATTCTTTGTCACATATGTAAGAACATTTCTGTTTTCTTGATTTAGGAGGATCTGATTGTAATATCATGTTTTCAAGTGTTTACCTTAGAGATGAGAAACACTTACAACATATTTTGGTTATACTTACCGGAGATAAGAACTGATTGTTTTATAAATAAAACGGAAATAAATTAAATTTGAAAATTTACAAATAGAGGAAGTATTAGCAAGGAGCATGCCTATTTGCATATTCAATGAAAATGTTGAGCTGTAAAAAGCCAGTTTTCTCACATAATCTTTATTGTAATATTTCATTTAAATACTTCATAAAAGATCTAAACATGATAAGATAAAGAGAAGTGACCTCTTGTGACCCAGTCACAGGAATGTAAAGGATAAACATCTGTGTTCTGATATTCAGGTTACATTAACAAGATTTAGTTTTCTGGTGTGTGCTAAGCGGCACAGTAACAGGATGCAGCAAAAGGGATTATTCTCTGAAAAAACTGAACTGAGTTTAGACTGAGCTTACTTTTTTAAATGATGCATTCAGTATGGGGAGATGGAGAAAACAGCTGGCCCTACAGTTATTTTATAAAATCTTATTGTTATGTTCTACTGTTTACTTCAACTAGTCAATGTGCAGTCTCAGGCTGCTTTGATAAATGGTGGTTATTCCTGCACCGTATAGGACAAAGGATGCTTTTTTCCCCATGACACATTTTCCAAAGCATATTTTTTTCTGTATAAATAGAAGTGCTAAAATACATATACATATACAAAAGTAGGTATGGTGAAATCAGCCTAAACCCTTTCTTTTTTAAGATGGCAATATCCTACTTGCAAACTTGACAATGAATAGATTTAATCATACCTTTTAGTGGACCAAGTAAGGAAAAAACTTTCTCAAGGACACATGGTACTTCGAGTAGTTATTTTTTGTTCCCGAATGAGTCTGTTCTCTCTCCCCAAAACATTTTATTTTAATGTTACTACAGCATGTTCTAAGAATTGAACAGATTTACAGTATAAATCCAGAAAAATGTGAAGGAATTATTTATTGAATTGCAAGCTTATATAACCTATTAATAACATGGATCTATTACTCATTGACAACACATAGCTGTTCTAATGATGTTGTTGTAATAACCCCTGCATATATCCGTATACAAACCTGCACACTAAGTATCTTTATTTTCTATAAGCTTCAGCTGCAATAGCTGAGCCATAAAATTCTGGAAGCAGATCTGGGCATAGAAGTAACATCTCCGCTCCCTTGCAAGTATGAGTAAGTTGTTTTAGTCACTTTCAAGATAGTTTGAAGTATAACTTTTTCTGCCTGACCTGGCCATAAGCTGGATTATTTTGCAAAAATAGTTTAAGTGGCTTTCAAAAAGAGTAATACTTTTCTTCCTGTGAAGTTCATAAATACTTTTCTCCAATTAGACCTTTGTGACTGAGTGCTCTGAGTGTATAAGAGGCAAATAAATGGCTCTGGAAGCTAATTTTTATTCTGTTAGCTAGAAAGAATATTCCAAGTGCACATTGAAAGCAAATGCTATTATGCCATTTATACACATATGCCTAAAATTTCACCTTTCCTATAAGGACTTACCTTGAAAACACTAACTTTCTTTCAAATAGACATTAAATCCTTCAGGTCAGACAAACCGTAGAATTTCAGCCCTCTAGCTAAGTCAGAGTTGACCACATATTTTATTGAAATAATATGTTTTTGAAGAAGCAACAGCTGTTTTTGTCAAATAGGACGTCCTTCACAGTCTTACTGAGCTTTCAGTATATCTTATTTTAAAGCTGAACAGACTGCACACTCTCCAGTCTGCAACAGAATTTCTTGAGTTTCAGATTTGAGAAGAAAACAAGAGCTGCAAGTGAAAATAAAATGATGGTGGTAATGGCTTACATTTCTAGCTGGTACCTTTTAAGTTTCATTGCAGTTATTTTGGGAATGCTGGGCTAGTCATAGTATGGATCCTGCAAAATACTCATGTCTCAGAATTGGACTTGAATTATTTCCATATTTTCAACCAGAGAGATTAGGCCCTTTAATGTACGCTTATATAACATAAAATCAAAGGAGATGTTTTTCTGCTTGTTCAGAAATTTGATATTGTCTGCTGTTACAGTAACATGTAGAATCCAATGTATCCTGAAGTTAAGAACAGAACTCACAGAAGAATATATTCTTTCCTTACACATTTAGGAAAATATCTCCAACTTCGATATCGTCATGGAGTCTGATGAGGGCACCTTCAAGCCGATGGGACTGGCTTTTACTGGTACTGATGAAGCTCGTAGCATTGTCAAAGAGATCATGACTCTACTGCTACCTATCAATATTACGGATATTTATGACACCGCAGATGGAACAGACATTGATTACTGGATGAGAGATGGGGTGCCAGGTGAGTGTGCAGAGTACTTTATAAATAATACTCTTTCTTCCATGCAGAGCTACATCAGAAGAGAATTCTGGTATGGTTCTGGCAGTGTGGCGTTTTGAAAATAATAAGAAACCCTTTCTCTAGAGGAATAAAATTTACCATACATAAATATTTAAAGGTAACCTACAGAAATAGGTCATAATGTGTATTTGAGCTTCAGTTTAGTAATAGTATAGATTATACATAACATAACGTGCCTAAAATCTTCTTTTCGGCTTTAAGGATTTATAATAATTAATCCCAGATTGGTGGTTTATAAATAGTAAAGTAAAGCAGAGGGGGATTCTGCAATGCAAAACTTATAGTCTTTTATTATTATTACTTGGAAATATAGGGTTTTTTTTACTGTTTTACATGCTGAAGAAACAATTATTTGGAGACTTATGCTTTAAAAGGTTATAGTGCTTTAATGTATGCTAAAGCGGTAATATTCTGTGAAGTTCAAACCGGTTTGGGGGCTTATTTGGAGTACTGTATCTGTGTCCCAGTGAGGAGCAGTTGTTGGTAAAGACGTTTGTAAGCTATGAGAGAGGTCCACTCTACATAAACCCTCCCATGCCCCTGAGGAAGACATTGCACTAGCACTGAGTTTTGCAGAGCGTGAGATTTCCAATTAGGGGCTAGCCTGAATGAAGCTTTAGTGAATTTCCATTGTAGTTTCCATACTTGAGTAATAGCATGGCAAAAAAAATTTTATAACACTGATATTTAAAAAAATTCTGATCAGTTTTAAAAGTTTAACGTTCTCTTTCTCTGGTGGTTTATGACCAAAATAGGCTGTTGTGCATTTATCATGCTAGTTTTACCAGTAGTTATTATAGTCTTGTAATCTCCTAGTATGTGTTTAACTGTCTTGTTTCTTACCTGATCTTAAGGAAGATGTAGTGACTTATAGAATATATGATTCTTATTCCTGGAAAGAACTCTTTGCTTCTCACTCATCTGTGGTGTACAAAGATACTGTGATGTTGCCTACCTTGATAAATATATGGAAATCTGGTTTTCAAAGCAAAACTTCTGTATTGGGCAAGAAGAATGGGTATTGTTAAAAAATTAGGCCTTCATGCAGCTGGCATGCTATTTTCCGGTTGAGGTTCAGGGTGTTTAGTGTGATGTCATAATGTTAGTGTGCCACTGGCACGCAACCGTTGTACTAGGCTCTGACTGTGCGTCTTACTTGAGCATTAGGACTGAGTGCTGGCTTGAGGACCCAGTAAGCCCTGCAGAGAGGCTATAGCCATGCATCGTCCTCCACTGCCTCTAAGCTCTTATGCAAAGGCACGTTAGTCCAGAATTGCCAACTGACATGTGTGTGTTGTAGCTGGCCTATGAGAACCTACCGCTCAGCTGATGTTTAGAAAATATATTAAAAGGCTTTCCTAGGTGAGAGGTGCTTGACTGTTGGACAGGCAGTAACTGAGAACTTCCATTGTGCTTCCAGTCTGAGAGAGACACTTATGGAAGAGGGAAGAATGTGACATTCAAATGTTGTGTTTTCAGTTGAAAATGCAAGTGTTGATTGTGATGGCAGTAAGTACTGAGCTCTGCTATACCACTTTTCATCAGTTGAGGTGGACCAGAAGCATAAACAGATGCAGCTTGCCAAGGTGCTGTTGATGTGTCACCTGAGCTATGTGTATAAAATAAACCCAGCATGGCTAGGACAGAACCCAGAGCACTCTCCTGTGTTTGTCCATACTCTTCAAATGCTAGCACACTTCCCAGCACAGTTACACCCCACTCCAGCTAGCACCTTCCCAGGCAACATGTGGGCATGGTTGAGGTGATGCAGGCCAGGGACTGTTCCCAATATGTAGTCTCCAGTAGGCCTCCCTGTTTTGATAAAGAAGGGAGTTTAGTTGTGTTCAGCGGGACCCTGCTGTGCCACTTACTGTCAGGAACAGAACGCAGGAGAAGAAGGAGTTTCACTCATATGTTTTGGCATGTGGCTCAGTGATCAGATAACACTACGGTGTCTTCAGAAAGCAAAAGCCGTGAAAAATACCATAAACTGTGAAATCACTTTACACGTTGGGAAAATACAAAGTGCACCAGAAAGGTGGCTTCACTTTTTAAATAAATTTGATTTATCTTCCTATTAGAAATTTGGCACATTAATTTGTTACGGGTTTTTTGCTGACTGAAGCTTTGATTCATTTAACTTCCTGTTAAGCAAATAACAAAGTGTTCTTACAGAGTAAAGAGCAGGGATTCATTTTCCTTCTTGAGACCTGATGTGAAAGAATTAACTCCACTAAAAGAATTTCTGCTGCTTCAGATTGCATTTCATACTGTACCAGGGAGAAGTTTAAGACATCTTGTAATCTTCACACCTCGTCTACAGTATTCTCACTGCTCAAATGAGTCCTTATGGTATATAATAACATTGGAACAAACTGAACACACTGTAACAGCTTTTATAATTTTGTCCGATGTAAACAAGCAGCCAAATGTTGACACTTCATCAATTTTATTTAAATATTTTCTTGAAAATACACTTGGTGACTTTGTTTCAGCAGCAGTTAGAGAAAATATGGTGTACTTTTTGAACAATAAGAGTGGTTTCTGACATCATTTTTGTGAAATTTTCCTTCTTTACTATCTTAAATAGAGTCTGTGGTCAGCTTTTGTAGATACTCTTAAAATTCCACTCCTCCTGCTCCTTATTTTCTGAAAAGGTCCACAGAAGGCAACATTACGTGTCTTTTTCAGAGCCATTCATAGCTGCTCCTGAGGCAGGCCAAGTAATTCCTGTTTCATACTTTCTTTGCTATTTCCAGCACTTTTATATTCAATGGGCATGCAATGGAATGTCATTCATAATTTTGCTTAAGTGAATTTGCAAGGAAACAGTGTTGGCTGTTCTGAGGTTTTAGGATAAGAGAGGCCAGAGAAGTACAGTGCGCTTTACAAACCACAGTATGAAGCTTAACTAATACCTCTAAAGTATAGGCAAGGTAATCTGCTTAGAGCACTGCAGGTTAATGCTGTGTGACTGCAAAATGTTAGAAATATCTAACATCAGTGGCCTTTACGTCTGATTATGTTGAAAACAGTTCAGCCCAACAAGAAGCATGTCTGTAGTTGTGTTTTTTTAATGATAGCCAGTTTTCAGCTGCTGAAAATATTTACATAACGAGTGTTTTGCTTTTTCATGAAGCACAAAGAAATGAAATTGGATTTTTGTGTCATTGCATTTTATGCTGTGGTTTTACCATCTGAGGTGGCCATTGATCCCTGGACTGCTCCTTTATTAATTATACAATTATCTTTCTCAGTTTCATTTTTAAATATTCAATTATGTATTTTGTTTCAGTCAAGCATATATGTAAACTGCTGATGTATTGCTGGTTTTTCTTTTCCAGCACTATGTTCTAACCAACAAGTTTGACCAGCTTTTGCAAATGCAGGGCGGGAGAGAGATTTGTTGAGGTTTTTTGCTTTACTTTGCTTTGGGTTTTTTGGCTGTTTTTTTACAATAGGCTTGTTCATTGTTTGAAAGGGTCAAAAAACACTTAGCCAACCCACTGTTCTGGTATTTTTGTTAAAAAAAGCAATGTCCTGGATCACAAGGCTATGCTAAAGTGATTCAGACAGGTTCCTAACGTAGTAGCATTGCTGCTGAGTCAGCTGCCCCTGTAAGCTTTCAGAAATTGAGAATGAGGGGAATGAGGTGATTATATTTTTATTACGGTATCTAGTGAAATATTATTCAGCTTTAGATATTCGGAGAGCGGAAAACTGGTGTGCTCCCAATTTTTGCAAATGGAAAGCTATTGTGACACAGTATTTTCAGGAGAATTGATTCAAGGATATTCCTTTCTGCTGCATTTGTACATGAGGTTATCTGTTGTTACAGTATTTATGATGGGGACGCTTGTCCTTTTGGAATTGAACTATATTTGAGGCCACGTTGACCCAGGAAATCAAACAGCTCTTAGAAAGTATGTGGCAATTCCTCTATTTAAAATTCAACCAGAGACCTAGAGGTGAAACTCTTGAAACACTTTTTTTCGGTGTCACCCTGAACCTTGTTGGTTGTTCATGTCTCTCTGTCCCCACAGTGATGGTGTCTTGCTTTTCTGTTACATTACACAACAGGAGGAATTATTATTCCAGAAACAAATAAATCAGTAGTTCATCTAACTTTAAGGTTTCTCCAAAAAACAAAATTAATTTCTAACCGAATGTATTAGTCATTTTCTCAGAGGCAGCAAATACTATCATACATCATTTCTCTCATTTTTCTATTTTTATAGTGCTTTTTTATTGCTTCCGTCTAAAATAAGATGTATTTTGGCCTTTGGACAGCTGAGATTTGCATGCACTATTTCCTTTCTTATTACGTGAGAGTCCAAATCCTTTAGTTGCCCTTCTTTTTCAGAGCATGCTGCCCCCTTTCTCCCTTATACCCATACTTACCTCATAGCATCAAACACCAAGGTCTACATGCGTGAGCCAGACTTGCTGTTTTGCTCGGTGTCATCAAGAGGTGTATTTGAGGGAACAGTGTAACGGGAAAACTGCCTAACCTGGGGTTCTCATGTGGGCAAGAAGAATTGTATAAACTATATATTTCCCAAATTATGGATGTGTAAACTCTGTTGACTGTTGGCTGTATCACTGCGGGGAAGCAGAGTTCTGCTGGGGTGCCTGAAGCGTGGCATCTCAGCATACCTGTTTCAAACCCTCTGCAAACTTGGGCAATCTTTGAGTCCAGCTTCCAAGCTTCTTATAATAGCCAGAAAAATAAAAACTGTAAGAAAAAAGAGGAAAAATCAGGTGTATGTAGTCCTCAGACTTCATAAGCCAATACTGAAGAGCCTTTGTCTTGATTGTGCAGAGGTAAAGACTGTTTCACTCTAATAAAACCTTTCTTTAAGACGAGTGGGAGAGAAAAAAGCTCCCTTAAAGAAATAAAGACATTCAACTTAACCTCCTTATTTTAATACATATTATTT